GTAGTGATACTGCCTCGGAAACCCAAGGAGGGGTCACTATGAGTCGGGTCTGACTCGAGGGCACATAACAACAACAACATTCTTCTCTAAACAAGAATTTTCCCTTTCCTCAGTTTTATATTATTTTTGTGTTAGTATAGATCATGAACTCTTTTTTAAATTTAATCCAAGTTTGTTTGAACATAAATGAATATATCCATTCTTGTCATTGTTTATTTGTAAAATTGCCTCCCTGATGTCTATCTCCTTTCAACATGCCCCATCACTTTTTGAGCACATCTTTTACTTTCTGCACAAGATAGTCCATGTTTACCTTATACTTTTCTTGTCCCAGCCATGGAATCTTTCATTTCTCTCACAAACATGTTTTCTTTTCAGTAGAAAATAGTGTTTAGCCATGTGGGCATTAAATGTTTTCTTTGCTACCTAAGCATTATTCTTTTTGGGCCTTTTGTGGACGGAATTAGGAAACAGATTTCTTCTTTTGCTGTGTACTTAAATATTTTCATATTTACGATTTTTTTTTTTTTTTAGTATCAAAAATTAAACCAGTTGTCATGGAGCTATTTCCGACTCATGGGGACCCCATGCGTTTCAAAATGGAACTGTGCTCTAGAGGTTCTTTGAAGGCTGTGACCTTTCAGAACTATATCAGCAGGCCTTTCTTCCAAGATGACTCTGGGTAGACTTGAACTGCCAACGTTTTAGTTAGTATATAGATTCCCAAAATTTAAGTAATTGATTCACAGGACATGAATATTTTTTAAGACCATGGATCTTTATTGTGAATCTGTTTTCCAAAACTTTAATTCTGTGACGGCACCTATTTTGCTGTATTTTTTGGTTAGGATTACATATTCTAGTTTTTTCTTTTTTTCTAATTTTAATAGCATTGCTTTAAATTTTAAATGACTTATTCCCTTAATTACCAGTGAAATTTAGCACCTTTCAAGTTGTATTTCCTTTTTGGTGAATTTGCTGTTCTAGTGCTTTTTCCTTTTGCATTTGCAGTATTTGTCCCTTTTGTCGTCTATTTGATTAAGCATTGTGCATACTTAACTTGTGGACTTTTTTTTTAAAATGTAATGGATTTTTTTTTCAGTGAAACAGAGAAGCAATCTTTTCCTTGTTAATAATTAGCCAAAAATTCTGCAAATTTTGATAAAAATCAAAGATGCAGTATAACAGAAACAGATTAAACAGGTTATTTTTTTACTAATAATGTCAAAGCATAAGCATAAAAACTTGCTTTTCTCCAACCACACTACTTTCTTTGTGAATGTGATTTCTGTAAAAATGAAACAGTTCAAACTTACAGCTGTTGTTATTTTCTTGTTCTTTTGGACTGAATCCCTAACACTGCCCACAAAGTCTCAGGATGTAGGTAAGATATTTTCTTGTATATTAGCTAAGGAATGACTAAAGTTGGGATAATTAGTATTTTTTTTTTTTTTAGCCTCGTTTCTTTCCATTTAACTCTTCACTTTCTTTATTTTCCTCCATTTAGTTTATTATGCTGGCCAGGTATTCCAAATTAACCTTGCCAGAAATTTTATTTTGGTGGTCATATTACCCAAATTACCAAATGTCTCAATGTGTATAGTTTGTGGTAACAGTAAGAAACTTACGTAAGTCAGGATTTTTCTTGAAACTTTAGTTATCCAATATATTTCCCAACTAGATGGATGGTAAATACCTTCAAGCTATGCAGGACTCCCTCTCTTCTTTGACTGTGTAGTTTGTGTGTAGAAATATACCTTCTACAAGCCTGGCTGAGGCAGCATCAGCCTGGAAAAGGGGGATATTTTTATATTTCTTCTGTCCAAAGAGGGCACACTTTGAACTTCATCTGTCCTGAGAAGATGTCTGTTTGTAAACCCTCTGGTCTGGAAGGAAGTCTTTTTCGTGACTTGAACAAAGGTGCTATATGAGTGACAGTAGCCCTGAAGACAAGGATTGTCTTGCTCAATTTAGCATCCTCCACAGTGTCTGTTAATGAGTCACTGGGCTTGAAAAGAGTGTTTATTCTTGAGTTCTACGTCTCCTTTGCCCCTTACAACAAACTGTTGCAAAATTTTGTTGAATTTTGTTTCTTTAATACCTTTACCATGTTTTCTTTTTTCATACCTACCTACTTTTTTCATACACCTTCCAAAATTCAGATCCTCCTGGTCTCTTAGCAGATCAATTGCAAAGTTTCCTAATGGCTTTCTTTTCTTCTTCTTCTTCTTTTTTTTTAACCCCATTCATTTATGTAACTAATAGTTGTTGTGACTTTCTATTTGTCAGGCACAAATAGAATATTAGATATGCCTCTACCTGACTGATATTTTTAATGTATAGAAATTATGATATTACCATCTTACATAAACATTTTCAGTGGCTCTCCATAGCTTTCAATCAAAGCCCAAGTTCCTTAGCTTTATATTCAGGATCTGTGATCTGGACCCAGGATTTTTCCATACTTAGGTTCCATTATTCCTCTTTTGATTCAATTTCTCATCTTGCACAGATACAGGTGATACAAAATACCTGCAGTCTTTATAGAAACAATAGAAGACAGACACAGAGTAATCCCTCACAGAAAACCAGGCACTATGGGAGAGAGATCCAATCGATCTACTATCTCAGGACCATAGTACTGGGGGACACCCAGACTCAATTGGCACACACAAAATACATATAAAAGTGTTGCTCCATATCCTACTTTGGTGAGTAGCCACTAGGGTCTTAAAAGCTTCCAAGTGGCCATCTAAGATGCAGCTAACGGTCTCCTAGTGTCAGAAGTGAAGAAGAATGCAAAAAAAAAAAAAACCAAAACAAAAAACCAAGGGCATTTAGAAGCAATCAACCACAGGACACAATGGCCCTTAAGACCAGAAGAACTAGATGGTGTCTGGCTACCAATGTCAACCACTCAGGAAAGAATCAAATCTGGAGATCCTGGCTAGAGCGGGAGGGAAAACGTGGAACAAAATCCAAAAACTCAATAATGACCAGAATTACTGGTCAGATGAAGTCTGGTGAGACTGCCAATACTATGGCCCTGGAATACATTCTGTACCTGGAATAAAACTCACCCCCAGGGGTAGGCTCTCAGCCCAATAGTTAAAAAGATGTACACACAGACCACTCAACCCAGGATGACACACCTACATACTCTATGGTAATACATCCCTTAAAGCAACGGACCATGGGACGCCAGATGACCAACATTCAAATGGAGGAAATGCAGGACAAACAGGAGTGCATAAACTCGAGGGGCACAGGGGGAGGGTTACAGGCTAGGGAGGGGAGGAGACTGGGTTAGGGTTGGACATAGTGAATGGGGAATGAAAGTAAGTGTACGTATTACATTGAATGTAAAACAAGCTCTTAAAAAAAAAAAAAAAAAGGATTAATTTTCTTTCCCCAAACAGATCCAAAGATTTTTTCACCTCTGTATATATATATTTAAATATTTTATTTACTTTTAGTGACAATATACACAACCAAATAGACATCTATTCACAATTTCTACATGAACAGTTCAATCACATTGGTTATAAACTTCACAGTGTATCACTATTCCCACTATCTTGACCTGTATTGTGTCTTCACCATTAATTTAGGCTCTGTGCCCCTTGAAGTTCTCATCTGTGCTTTCGATTAACTATCATCAGTTTAAACTCACATAAACAATTCTTTATAAGAGTGTAATGCTCAGGGCAAAAACATTCTTTATTAATTGGACTAAAGTTTTTATTTTATGATGACTTCATAGGATAGTTTTGATTCAAGGTTTAAACATTATTTCAAACCATTAGATTTGAGGGTTCTCTAGTCTCAACAAATCCAATTAAGCTTCTTTACATATGAATTTGAAGTCTGTTCCATTCTTTTTCTCCTTTTGATCAAGACCTATCTATTGAGTCCTTGATCAAAAGATTTAGTAATGGTTGAAGACACCACCCATTTCCTCTGAACATATTTGTAGTTTTACTTATGTCATTACCTCCATACAAGGGGAGCTCTGGTGGCCCAGTGCCTGAGGCATTTGACTGCTAACCAGAAGTCTGGCTGTTCAAACCCACCACCTACAACTCAGAAGAAAGATTCACCAATCTACTTCTGAAGAGATACTGCCTCAGAAACCCAAGGAGGTGTCACTATGACTCGGGATTGACTTGATGGCAGTGGGTTTGGTTTTTGGTTTTACCTCCACACAGAAAGACATGGCCCTTATTTCTCAGCAGCTGAAATCTTATATATTCTTTCAGACTCAGCTCATGTGCCACTCCTACTGCACTTTTACTTTTCTGCTCCCTCACCCAGGGATCGTAATATATTCCCATCATATACCTCCAGTTGCTATTGAATCAACTACAACTCTTGAGCACCCCATGTGTGTCAGAGTAGAACTATGCTCCATTGGGTTCAATGGTTGGTTGGTTTTTCAGATGTAAATTATTATTAGTCTTTTAGAGGAGCCTGTGGGTGGACTCAAACCTTCAATCTTTTGGTTAGCAGCTAAGCGTGTTAACATTTTGCATGACCCAGGAATGCCATGATATACTTATCCACTCTACAATGGATTGTAGTCATGCACACAGTCACTTCTACTACTAGTGTGCTTAGGAACCTGAAGTCCAGAGGAGATATCTTAGTCATCCTTGATTGCCTCATAGTGTCCAGCACAATATTTTGCAAAAACTAGGGACTCCATAAGTGTAGATAAATGTAAATCTCCCTAACTTAATATATGCCCATATGGAGGGAATCAATGGTTTTAGGATAGTCCAGAGATCACCAAGTATCTGTGTTTGGCTAGCACTGTAAACTATACTGACCACCAATACACTATGACCTTGCTTATCAAGCTCAGTTGTGGCTTTCCATTCCATATCAACATATCTTCATATTGTTTCTCTAATTGTAAGTGATAGAGTCTGACCTTGGACACGGCACAGGTATTTGACATTTGCAGCCAGGAACCCATCAATGAAAAATCTAAAATCCAATTAGTTTGAGGATAATTCATATCAATTAAACCTAAGGAATATTTCTTGAGCACATAATCAACTGTGGTTTAGTTTTTATACGTGGTTCATATGATTTCTCTCCTTCTTGTGAAATATGCCAAATTATTTTCTACTTTTTTTTTTAACTCTTAGATACCATGATACTATAGCTATTTATTGGGAAAATGTTAAAATACCAGGATGTGTAATAACATAAATATCCTTGCTTTTCAGACAATTTCCAAGTCACTCAGAAATTTATAGAGGATAACGTTGGATATCTGTGAGTTTAGTTAAACTCTTTTTGAAGATGATGTTTATTGTAATCTTTTCTGATACATTAAAAAACATTAATGATGATTAAAGGTAATTTGATTAAACAGAAACCATACCAAATAAATAAATAAATAAATAAATATAATGTTAATCAAAATTCAGATGAGGCAGTCAAAATGTAAAATATACAACCTTCACACTTTTTGGTCAGATAATTTCCCAATGCTAGTCAGCAAATGGATGTTCTTACTAATTTTTTGTTGGACACAAATGGAAATTCTGCAGATGATCACCATGTATTCTGTGTGGATTGTTGCAGCACCATCATTGCATTTGCTCAATATGTTCAGGAAGCAACCTTAGAAGAAGTGGAAGTGCTTGTAAAAAAGATGATAGAATTCAGAGATAAATGTGTGGCTGACAGGACACTTGCAGAATGTGCAAAATTAGCTGTAAGTAAATTGCTTGCATTTCTTAAACAACAACAAAAAGGCTTATTTGTCAACACTGAGAGATTTTCTGGACTGGAAATATGAAAAGAGAGATGTCCTGTGCACTTTATTGTCATTTTGCTCAACTTGGGTATCTTGATATACAGTACTTACTCCAGTAGAGATGCAATTCTGTATTATGATGCACAGGAGAACCTGGCTACGTCTTTGCAGGCCATGTGATATGTACACAGGTAAAGAAGGCAGCCAGTAGCCTGGCAAAGGTTAAGAAGTACCCTCCTTAGCTGCCTCTCTTGATATGTGCTCTATGATCATCTTCCTCTTTCTGGGCCTCCTCTATAGTGTTACCAACTGCATCTCTAGAAAAACCACCATTATTGAATAGCTTACCAATACACTAACTAACACACTGTCCTTGTCACCTTAGGAGAAGAGGAGAAAAGCCATTTTGGAAGGGAAATAAAGAAACAGTAAAAAGTTAAGAGGCCTGAGGACAGGACAGAGAAAGGATCCCACAGTATGGGAGGGTTATCAAGGGCAGAGGTCATAGCGGGAAAATTGCAGTCTTTTTTCCAAAGAGAATATTTCTTACTGGATATTCACAGAGTGTGTGATTAGTATTCAAACTGATTATTCCTTATCATCTGTTGTCCAGAATGACATTTTACAGAAAAGTATATGTGCTATGGAGGGGTTACCACAAAAATATAATTTTTCACACTGCTGCAATAAGAGTGACTTTGAAAGAAGACTCTGTTTCCTCTATAACAAGAAAGCTGATGTAGGATTTTTACCTCCTCTTCCTACTGTGGATTTTGAAACAAAATGCCACGCTTATCAACAGAATAGAGAATTTTTTCTAAACAAGTAAGTTTAATTTTACTATAAAAATGATCTAATTGAAGAATTAGTCTAAATCCAATCCCTATTCCAAAGGAACATGCCTAGGTTCATTGACTGCTTGATTCATTCAACATGTAATCTATGTCAGATTCTGGGCTCATTGTTGAGGACATAAAGATGACCAGAATACAGAGCCTGATTTCAAGATCCTGACATTAATGTGTGTAACTTGTAATGTGATAAGACTTAGAGACATGTGCACTGTGCCAAATTACTAGGAAGCACTGTGGAGGAGATAATATATTCTACTCAAGAAGGTGCAGATTTTACTGAGACAAATATTAAATTATGGGAGGTTCAGCAAAAATCTATTTTCAATAGCACACTCAGTACAGAGCAGATTTTTTTTTTTTTTTTTCCTGGAAAGCTGATGTGCTCATTGAAACCCAAATCCAAGTTTGTTTGAACATAATTGTGTATGTCCCCTGTGTCTGAAATGGTATGTGAAGCTGTGACTGAACATGGAAGAGCTGCTAACCCTTGACAGCCGAGGAGGAAAGGAGAGTAGCCATGTTTCAATGTTAAGTGCTCAGGATGAGAACAGCTATTATGACCATTACCTTGGAGTTAGTGACTTTAGTAATAAGGACTCTGAAGGTATTTTACTGGGGATCGAATAATGCCATCTTATAGTGAAGTCTTCTATCATAACAAACCCTTTTTCTTCTTACATTCATTTTTATGACTTGTTCTTCTCTCATTCCCTATCTTTTCTTCCTTTCCTTTTTCTTGCCTTGCCTTCCTTCCTTTGCCTACTGTTCCTTTCCTATTCCTTCCTTTCCCCTCCTTTTTTTTTCTTTTTTATAGCTATATCTATGAGTTTGCCAGAAGGAACCCCTTTGTCTTCTCTTCTACACTTCTAACTGTTGCTGCTCATTTTGAGGAAGTGGCTAAGACATGTTGTGGAGAAGAAGACAAAGCCAGCTGCTTTGGAACAAGGGTGGGCATTGCATTTATTTCATTTAAGGTGATGGATCCCCCCAACACCACAAATCTCCATTTAATATTGAACTATAGCCAAAGGATTGTTTACCACTCATGACTTTCTCTTATTTACCACTTGAGCTTGTTTTCAACACTGTGGTCACCAGTTGCTGAGGTAAATGTTCTCATGAGCTGAGACTCCTGAAAGGCATTTCCTCATCTCCAGGGTCTCTCTTCTGGCTTCATCCACTTTATAAACTGGAAGAAACTCTAGTGAGTGAATAACCAGGTGGAAGATTATCATTTTATCTTCTATCCTAGTAAATACTCTTTTTGTTCCCTGTGAAATGGAATTATCCCAGAGTTGGCCAAGTGCACAGCAGAGTGGCTCATGAGGTGAATACCATGTACCTTCCTCCTATCAAGTACAATTCAGTAATCAGGAAAACTGACCCACCCATTACAGTGTGCCACAAATTTATATTTATTTTGATATGTAAATTTACCAAAATAAAAATCCCTTAGATTTTTGTTTCTGAGCAAATATTGGGGGTAGTTTGATTGACATAATTTTATTTTTCTCCTTTAGGCAGCACCTGTCATACAAAATTTAAAAGCATTGTCTTCTTATCAAAAAAATGTTTGTGGTGCATTTATGAGATTTGGACCCAAAATCTTAAACTCTATGTGAGTTTTATAATATGTATCTTTCTTCTACTTGTATTTTCTTGTCTCTGTCCCATTTTTACTTAATGGTTGATTACTTTTTACTTATACTCTTTCTGGTTCCTTAGAGATTTTGAGGTGAGTCTTAGTCTATATGGATAACTCAGAACCAGACATTACATCAGGATGAGAGAAGACCTGGGAGGTGAGAGACCCCAAAGAGAAAGGGGGCTAATTCTGGGATATTTTTTGGTTAATTGGGAATCTTAACAGGTCCAAGAGTTCCCAACCAGGGTTCTAAGACCCCTAATTGTTTTAGACATGACTCATCTATTCCTCCCTGCCCTTAATGATTAAGAGACAACCTTATAACCTCCACTGCTAAAAACCTTAATCAACTAGTTATGGTGCTGGAACAATGTACTGAGAAGAGTTTTGAGACTTGAAACAGATCAACAGAAAAAAGTCCTAGAATGGATTTTTGTGGCCTGCCGCAGCCTCAAAAGAGGAAGTGGTGGCCCTTACACTTTGTGCTTTGCTGTAATAATTTTGAAAGACATTAGATCTCTCAGGCCATTCCTTTCTCTGACCCAGAGCCCTGGTTGCCCCATAATACCAACATAGGATTTTAAAAGTTATCTTGCAGAACATGTATCATACAGACAGCTATTTGGTAGGCAGCTGTGAGAAACAAAGGGCCCAGTGTTTTTTGTACCCTTTTGTACTGTATTAGCAAAGAACTGTCCTCTTGCCATACTTCTTGTTCACATTGTTTTAGTGGTTTATTGTCCTCTTTCTAGATATACTGCTGTACTCAGCCAAAAGTTCCCACAGATTGAGTTTAAAGAAGTTGTTTCTCTCCTAGAAGACATTTCTTCCCAATACAATGGATGCTGTGAAGGGGATACTGTTCACTGCATCCAAGGAATGGTAAATATCTCCAAAACCAATAAAAATTAATGAATTTTGGCAGACAGCTTTTATTTTGAAATTTCTCTGATGTGGCATACTTTGCTTCAATTAAATTAGAATGTTAATAAATTGCCAAGTAAATTTTGTTTTGTTTTTTAATATATGGGATTTTTTTAAGATTAGTTAGCAGATTATATTTTTAAATTTTTAAATAATATTTTTGGTAAAAGTATATACACAGCAAAACATACACCCATTCAACAATTTCTACATGTATAATTGAGTGACATTGGTTATGTTATTCATATTGTATCATCATTCTCACCATCTCCACCAAAATTATTTCACCACTGTTAAATTAGACTCACAGCTTCCTAAACTCATTTGTGCTTTAGAGTTATTTTTTGATCACATGTGGGTAATTATTTAGAAGAATGCAATGTTCAAGGCAACAACATTCACTAATTGAGTTAAATTGTATGGTTTAAAGATGACTTCAGCAGATAGTACTGCTTCAAAGTTTCCAGATTATCTCAAAGCAATAAATTCAGGAGTTCCTGTAGTCTCAATGGGTCCAGTAAATCTAGATTCCGTGGGAATTGGAAATTCTGTTTCACAATTTTTTCCTTTTTGATCAGGATCCATCTATTCAGTCTTTGATCAAAATGTTCGGTACTGGTAGCCAGGCACGATCAGTTCTTGTGTCATGGCAAAGGCGGAATAATTCATGTAGGTAATTAGATCTGCAGTCCAGTTCCTTTTCCGATTCCCAGGTCTTCTTCTGCTGAGGCTCCAGCAGAATAGAGACCAATAATTATATCTTGATGACTGCTCACAAACTTTTCAGGCCCCAGCACTATTCACTGGTCTATGAGGTAGAAGAGAAACCTTAAAAACAGTAATAAGCCAATTGACTGGATTGTCCCATGAAACCATCAAACCAAAAATCTAATTCCATGGAGTGCTGGGTTGTACCTAAGTAGTGTCAATAGCTGTACTGTTGTTGCTGTTGCCATCAGATTGTATTTTATATGGTTAAGCGTCTTTGAAATAAAATTTCAAGAATTTAGAGTTTTTGAAACCAGATGGAAATTTTCTTTTCTTTTTAACATGGCAAATCCTCTTCTAGTTAGTTATGTGCCATCGAGTCGGACCCGACTCATAGTGACCCCTCCTTGGCTTTCCGAGGCAGTATCACTGTGGAAGTAGATTGCCCAACCTTCCTTCTGAGATCCTCTTCTAGAGATGTTAGAAAATTATATAAATCTCAGCAATGACTTGTTACCATTATTGTTTTTAAGAGCTGTTGTCTCTGAGCTTCTTCACCCTGTTTAGGGAAAAGTTATTTCCAGCTAAGTGGATATGTTAATTACTAATAGTTTATTATTTAAAGCTATTCTCTAAGGATCCCAAACCAAAACTAAAGCCACTGCCCTCCAGTAGATTCTGACTCAGCAATACTATGATAAGAGTTTCTAAAGACATATACTGATAAATACAGTGTTGGCCTAGTCTAATTTGTTTATGTTTTCAAAGGTAATACCATTTCATTAAAATTTCCTGACTTTTTCTTAGCTGAAATCAGGCTTAATCTTACCACACACAAAAAAACAAAAAAGCAATAACAAAAACCCAAACCTATCTTTGTCAAGTGGATTCCAACTCATACTGACAGTGTAGGACAGAGTAGAACCACTTCATAGGGTTTCCAAGGCTGTAATTTTTATGAAACCTACTGCTGTTGCTCTGGTAGCATAGTGCCTAAGTCACCTAACTGCTAACCAGAAGGCTGGTGGTTCAAACCCACCAGCCACCCCTTGAAAGGAAGATGGGGCAATCTACTTCCACAATGATATCGCCTTGGAAACCCAAGGAGGAGTCACTATCAGTTGGGTCTGACTCAATGGCACATAACAACAACAAACAACAACAACAATTTTTACGAAAGCAAACTGCCACATCTTTCTCCCATGGAGCAGCTGAGAAGGGTTAGAAGCACTGACCTTTCAGTTAGCAGTCAACCTCTTAACAACTGCACCAACAGTGCTCTTTGGGCTTTATCCTAATGACTTTTAATTAGTTTCACTGTTTTAGATTCACAGTGAAAAAATATTAATTAAATTATTTAAAATTTAACATATTGAGGTATGCTTGTTTTATTTCAAGCAGTGGATAACATATGTCACAAAGAGGTTTTGTCCCTAATTGCATCCTAATTAAAGCAATAACACCCTCTATTTATATCTTTATTGGTGGATTGTTTATGGAAATGTGCTATAATATTAAATCTAATGTACTGAACTAGAATATAATTGAAGATTTTTTGTTTAGTTCAGAGCTTAGACTAAGGGATCATATTCTATGCCAACTTCCTCTTAATGTTTTTATGGAGAAATAGGAACTGAATTGTAGTTCATTCAAAATGGAGGTAAATTCTGAGACTAAAGGTTGTGGTGCCTAAAGTGATGATGGTCTTAGGGGAGATGTGTATGTGTTTGCAAAGACTGTCTCCCTGGTTATATATAGTTTGTAGGGATGTGGTGCCTAACTTTCAGTAATTTATCACCCCATCCCTGAGCTTACCCCCTTTCTTCACCCTTAGCAGTCACCAGTCAGATAAGGAAGGGACTGTAACAAAGTCAGGGAGACCTGAAATAGCCTGGTGGAACTCAATGTAGTTCAACTGAAGTTGATGCAGAAAGTAGGATGAATGTGTGGAGAGAGAGCTGTCTGGAAAGGGAGTTAGAACAAGATCAGCTTTTAAAAAAATTATTCAATTAATGTGTAAATAAACTAACCTTGCCCTACCTAATCCCCACAACTTAATGTGGAGGCCAGAACTGTGAAGAAGAGAGAGAGAGGAATAGAATAATGTTTTCTGTTTTGTATATTATTTAATAATTTGAACAAGATCTAAATTAATAAAGTCCATAGAAAAATGTTTCAATTACTGAACCGTATTCTTATATTTAAGACGTGTTCACCTGGTATTTGCTGTAAGGATTCATTTGTTAATCACTCTTTTATTTATTCACTCATATTTATTAGGTGTTCACTATGTGCTTAGTGTGCAGCATTAAGCCATAAGAGAGGAAACCCAGGATTGGGAATACTGTAGTAACATGTCTTCTCTTATTGAAGGTATTGAATGTCATAGGCGGACTGTTACAGGAAAGAAAAAAATATCTTTATCTTTAGGATAAGGATGTTAATATTTCAGAGAAGAGTGGCATAAAGTATTTTAAAACTTTAATACATGACAATGAATTTAATAGACTCCTTTTCCATGTGCATGTCATCAATAAACTTGCATTAATATGAAATTTCATGTATATTAAAAGAATACAAAATTTACATATAAACACCTGAGATGATCAGATGGGGGTCAGTGAACAGAAATGTACTCTAGATCAAGGATAGATTCAGCTGAGGCTAATCTTGTACAGACACCAGTGATACAAAATACCTGTAGTTCTTACAGAAACAATAGAAGACAGACACAGAGTAATCCCTCACAGACAACCAGACACTGTGGGAGATAGATCCAATAGGTCTACTGTCTCAGGACCATAGTACCGGGGGACACCAGACTCAATTGGCACAACAAAATACATAAAAGCATTACTCCACATCCTACATTAGTGAGTGCTGACTGGGGTCTTAAAAGCTTTCAAGCAGCCATCTAAGATACAGCTAATGGTCTCCTAGCATCGGAAGTGAAGAAGAGCAGAAAAAAACTACACACACACACAAGGGCATTTAGAAGCAATCAGCCCTAGGAAACCATGGCCCTTGAAATCAGAAGAACTAGATGGTGCCCGGCTACCAATGCCAACCACTCAGGAAAGGATCAACTCTGGAGATCCTGGATAGAGTGGGAGGGAAAATGTGGAACAAAATCCAAAAACTCAATAATGACCAGAATTACTGGTCAGATGAAATTTGGTGAGAGTCTCAATACTATGGACCTAGAATACATTCTGTGCCTGGAATAAAACTCACCCCCAGGGGCGGGCTATCAGCACAATAGTTAAAAAGATGTACACGCAGACCACTCAACCCAGGATGACGCACCCACATACTCTATGGTAAACATCCCTTAGAGCAATAGACCATGGCACACCAGAGGACCAACATTCAAATGGAGGAAATGCAGGACAAACAGGAATGCATAAATATGAGGGGCACAGGGGAAGGTTATAGGGTGGGGGGGGAGGAGACTGGGTTAGGGTTGGATATGGTGAATGAGGAATGAAACTAAATGCATACATTATGTTGAATGTAAAACAAGCTCGTAAAATAAAAATAATAAATAATAATAAATATACAAAATTTAAATAAAAATTTTATCTAACAAGTCAGCAGATAAAGTGATTTCAAATACTATGCTCATTGTTAATTTTGCATGTAACTTTTCTATTGTGAAGGAAAACCCAGTCCTGGAGGAATTATGAAAATAAAGTCATTTCTCGTTCTTATTTTATACAGAGTAATGTTATGAGCCATATTTGTACAAAACAAAATTCCATCTCCAGCAAAGTCAAAGAGTGCTGTAAAAAGACAATACCAGATCGTGGAGAGTGTATAATTTACTTAGATAAAGATGAGAAGCCAAAGGACTTACCTGTAAGAGAAGCAAAATTTACTGACAGCAAAGATGTGTGCCAACACCGAGATGCTGACCAAGAGAACTTCATGGCTGAGTAACGTAACTCTATGTTGAAATTTGTAAGGAAAACAGAAAGAAACTCATAAGATTTGACTTATATTGGAGAATTTATCTGAAAGGAATACAGAACCTTTAAAATTATAATGTGTCACATAATTTTTAAAACCATGGCTTACACTATAATATTTTCATTTAATTTTTAGAAAAAAAAGCATCTGTTATGATAGTTATGACTAACAGTTATTGAAGAAGCCCTGGTGTACCATGGTTAAATGCTTGGTGGCTGCTAACAAAAAGGATGGCTGTTTGGACCCATCAAGTGGCTCCATGGGAGAAAGGTCTGGAGACCTGTTATCAAAAAGATTACAGCCAAGAAAAGTCTGTGGGAGCAGTTCTGCTTTGTCACATGGGGTCACTATGAGTATCACTTAGACTTGACAATATTTAACAACAACATTTATTGGGTACTTGGTATGTTCCAGGAAATGGGCTGGGTACTTTATATGGATTGTTGTTTTTGTTGTTAGATACCATTGAGTTGGCTCTGACTCAGAAGTGACCTTATGTACAACAGAACGAAACACTGACCAGTTGTGCCCTGTCCGCAGAATCCTTGCTATGCTTGAGCCCATTGCTATAACCACTGTGTCAGTCCATCTTGTTGAGGGTTTTCCCCCTTTTTTGCTGACCCTCCACTTTACTAAGCATGGTATCTTTCTCCAGAGAATGGTCC